GAAAAGGACCACAATGCATTGAAACGACGTCAAACTACGACAGTCATCATAATTTTTTGACTGAGAAAATACATTTGTATCTTTGGTCGCTTGTGCAGCCATCTCGCCAGTATTTCTTGTTTACTCATAACTCTGTTTGGAGTGTGCCCCTGAAAAACCTCTGTTTGGAGGGCCATGTAGCCCTAACACTTTGCAGCACTGCTGTGTCTGATCCACTCGTACTAGTACAACACACACTAACACACCACCACATCAATGTTACTGCAGTGCTGAGAATGATCCACCACCCAAATAGTACCTGCTCTGTGAGGGTCCATGGGGGTCCTGACCACTGAAGAGCAGGGTAAAAGGGGGCTAACAAAGTATGCAGAGAAACAGATGGACTACAGTCTGTAACTGTAGAACTACAAAGTGCACCTATATAGAAAGTGGAGCTGATAAAATGGACAATGAGTATAGAAACAAGGAGGTGGTCATAATGTTATGCCTGATCGGTGTATAGTAATAATAATAATAATAACAATAATAATAATAATAATAGTAATAATAATAATAATAATAATAATATTTATTTATTTATTTATATCCTACTTTTCAGTTACAAAATCACAGTTATGTAATATAAGTAAAACATCTGAAAGCTGAAATAACATAGTCTAAATGAACTAACAGCACAATTGTAGCAATAAATAGCAATTATAACAAAGGTAGAAAGTGAGCCACAACACTTTAGCCTACCGAGCTTGCATTCCTAATATGTCCTGGAATGCTGTTAAGTTTTGGACCTGCATAAGAGAAGGATCATCCACCACCTGAGCCGTAAGTGATAGTTATAGTTTGCAGTAAGCCTGCATCAGCTAAGTGGAGTGGTTTCTGTTGTTTATTTGCGATTAAGAAACTGACAATCATATCTGACAATTTAGAGTTAACAACGGGCAATCATGACAGTCAATAAAGCACATGACAGTCAATAAAGCACTGTTTAACTAAACTATTTCTGTCTGTTTAAACTTTACCCATATATAATTACATTGGCCAGTATTGTAGTATTTCTATTTTACTATTAAACAATGCAAGCCACAATATCCTGTGGCTTGGCAGAGCTCTCAGCCGGTGGCTGTAAACTGTTAATACCAAAACTGTAACCATTTAAACAGGCAAAACTACAGTTTGGTCTGATGCCATAGCTAGAAATAGACTGCGATGAGTAACACCTGTGGAATTGAGCACAGCAAACTGTTAGTATTTTGTGCGTGTATGTAGAGATGGGTGTGTAGTCTTTAGTAAATGTCAGTTTTCAGTCAAAACTGCTGGCCTGAAGATTCCTGCATTAGAAAACGATTGCACATGGTTTATATTTAGAAGAGGCGAGGAGCAGCGTGTGAATTGTAGCGCTCATTAGAATATCCAGCTGAACTGGCATCACTTGTCAAAGCCTGCACAATAAACCGCGTGCTGCTTTTTTTTCACAAATATCAGCTGAGCTGACAGAAGAAGCTTCATTTGCAGGCATGGCTCACACGCTGCCAAACATTGCTGGAACACAGAGCTAGCAGCCGACAGCAGCTGTGAGAAATGTACACATATATAGACTAGTAAAATGCAATAACATTCAAACAGGCTAACTAATGGCTGCAGTTATTTACAGCTTCAGGTTGAGCCCTTTCCAAGGAATCACTGCAAAGATTGAACCTCTTTAATGTCTTTGTGCATTTATTTGTGTATGGCGACCGTCTTTATTTTGCAAAGGAGGGAGTCCTGGGATTGGCCTGTAATTAAACAAAAGACAGCTGTAATCAGTGTTTCATTTAGTCATTTTGTTTTGCGTTGCAAAATCTCACTGATTGGCCAAATTAGACATTTGCAATATTACTGTGAGTGTTTCTCACAGCAGTATAGACTGCACTTAAATATGGTGCTTGTTAAAACCAGCAAAGTATAAACTCAAGAAGGATTATATTTTTCAAAGCGCAAACACAGTCGATGGGGTACCCTCAAGGGTCTATCTTCAGTAGCTCGGGATCATAATTATACCACATTCTGTTGCAGTTACTTTTTTTAAGTTGCATTGACTCCATATCCCTGTCTTGATCCTAGACTTTTGATTTTATTTTTTCTATTTTACAAAGTTACTGATAAGAAAAGGTAAAAATATGCCCCTTTCCACTGAGGAAAGTGAAAGGAATGAAACTTATTTAAGTTACACAGCTAAAATGTTGTTATATGTTGCATGTGTACATTTATATGGTAGCTAGGGGGACAAAGATCTACCTGTGCAGTGAACTCTTTCAGACAATATACTATGTACTTTATTTTGAGGGAAAAATGATACTGAACATTGCATTATAAACCATATAACTCCATGTCTATAGATATTATTTGTAGAGATGCACCAAAATGGAAATTGTAACACAGTAGTCCAGTGTCACCTAAACTTTTTGTTCTTCCAAAGTACAATAAATACATGATCAAATAACAGTTTGAAATATCATCAGAATGTAAACATTCATCTGATACCGATATGATTCCAATGTCATTGTGTATCCTTAATTATTAGGCCATTTTGCTAGGCTGAAGGTGTGAGAATGACTATTCAGCTTCATACTTCTCCTCACAGTTTAACAGTTCTTAGCATTTGCTTACACCTCTGTCCATCTCCTTTTTGTTCCAGATCTGGTCACACAGTACTGCTGCATCACTGAGTGCCACAGTGTGTTGGGCTTGGTCAATGAGCATCGCTCCATAGAGCTGTGGGATGCCTGTTTGACTCATCAACGCGAATGACAAGAGTTCATCCACGAGTGGGGCCTGCCTCAGTCTCACATGATTGGCTGCTGGATGGAATTAAGGTGAATGGAACACATGCCCAAGGAGCAGGACCTTAACCTATCAGAGGGAGAAGAGAAACGGTGAGTGTCGCACCAGCAAGATTTCAGTCGTGCTGAATGCACGGTAGTTCACACTGTGCCATTGTCTCTTCATCAGATATTTTATGTACGTATATGAATGACTTAAATTCGCACCAGGCATAACACGTAAGTGCGGCAAATGTGAAACACAAGAGACTATCCATCCAGTCCACACTGTCTCAGTTCCTTTCTGTAAGCGCTTCAGGCAGCTCTTCTTTTCTAATTAAACAGTTTCACAGCAGGTTTGAAATGTGGCAGCAACAGTAGATTTGTTTATGTAAAAAAAAAACAATAACAATTTCTTACCTCTGTTGGTGTCTGGTAAAAGGCCTAGTTATTGTCACACACACATAAGGCAATGCAGTGATTATTCTGTGACTGCTAGGCCAACAAGATTTCACATTTTAGCTCTTTACAATTGGCATCGCTGACAAAAATTTTATTTGGGCCCTGCTGTTGGACCCTGTGAGGGTGTGCATGTCTGTCTTTGCTCATGGGCATGCCTGGATAGCAGTACTGTTGGTAATAAAAGTTTTGGAATTAATACTCTGTATTGAAAATCCCATTTATCTGTATTGCCAAAAGTCATTTTAGTGCAGTAATTTTTCAAAATGTCATTTCAGTCACATTTGAGAATATACAGTTTCCTTGGACATGGTAACCTTCCATAATGTTTTAGTTGCCAAATATGTTTCAAAATGTCATTGCTTTAGTACTAAAGGCTGAATTGTACTTTTACCTGCGTGTCTGTGAGTTTGTACAGGAGTTGTGCATCGATGTTTGCATAGGTGTCTGCCAACACACTTGCACTGAACATAAATATGTGCACTAGGGAGCAGTGTCCAAACCTTAATGTACAGAAAATGCAGATGAAAATCTCAAGTATTTCCTCTTCCTCTATCTCCAATAATTAATATTCACTTCACTGTTCTTGTAATATTTTGAAGATGGCTCAGTTACACTATATGGACAAAAGTACACCTACACATTACACCTACAGGGGCTTTTATGACATCTCAGTTTTAAATCCATAGGCATTAATATTCAGTTCATCCCCGCTTTGCAGCTATAACAAATATTGCACTCTACTGGGAAGCTTTCTACAGATTTTGGAGTGTGTCTGTGGGCATTTTTGCCCATTCATCCAGAAGAACATTTGTGAGGTCAGATACTGATGTTGGACGAGGGGGCCTGGCTCACAATCTCCGTTCTAGTTAATCCCAAAGATGTTTGACGGGGTTGAGGTCAGGGCTCTGTGCGGGCCAGTCAAGTTCTTCCGCACGAAACTCACCCAGCCATGCCTTTTTGGACCTTGCTTTGTGCACTGGGGTTCAGTCATGCTGGAACAGAAAAGGGCCTTCCCCAAACCATTCCCACAAAGTTAGAAGCTTACAGTTGTCCAAAATGTCTTTCACCCTTCACGGGAACTAAGGGGTCCAGGCCAACCCCTCAAAAACAACCCCATAGCATTATCCCTCCTCCACCAAACTTTATAGTTGGCACAGTGCAGTCAGGCAGGTAATGTTCTCCTGGCATTCGCCAAACCCAGACTGGTCCATCAGACTGCCAGATAGAGAGGCGTGATTTGTCACTCCACAGAATACATTTCCACTGCTCCAGAGTCCAGTGGCAACGTTCTTTACACCGCTCCCCCGACGCTTGGCATTGTGCATTTTCATCTTAGGCTTGTGTGTAGCTGCTTCGCCATGGAAACCCATTTTGTGAAGCTCCTAATGTGCAGTTCTTTTGCTGATGCAGCTTCCAGAGGCAATTTGGAACTCTTTAGTGAGTGGTTCAACAGAGGATAGACACTGTGCGCGTCAGCACTCGGTGGCCCCGCCCTGTGAGTTTGCATGGTCTACCGCTTTGTAGCTAAGCTGGTGTGGCACCTAGACACTTCCATTTCACAGTAATAGCACTTACAGTTGATTGTGGCAGGTCTAGCGGGACAGAAATTTCACAAACTAACATGTGCAGAGGTGGCATCTTATGACAGTGCCATGTTTAAAGTCACTGAGCTCATCAGTACGACCCATTCTACTGCCAGTGTATGTCTATCGAAACTGCAAGGCTATGTGCTTAATTTGATCCACGTATCAGCAATGAGTATGGCTGAAATACTTGAATTCAGTAATTTGAAGGGATTTCCCAGTACTTTTGTCCATACAGTGTAAATGTTCATAAAATTTCACCTTCTCTGCCAGTTGATCCTCAAACTGCTCCATTTGATTTTGCAATGCAGACCTATTTACATACATCTTCACAGAAATGTACATCAGCCTTAAGCTATACAATATCCTGAATATGTTATTTTTTGAATGCAATGAGCAAATTAACATTCAGCTGTAGAAAATGTCCATTAGATTGTTTAAAGATAGATTCCAGCTGCAGTCTGTGCCATGGCATTGTAATGGCTGTGTTGATGTAGTGGCAGTAGCATAAGTTCATTAGTTCATAGCATGTAGTTCATTAGCATAAGTGAAATGCAAGCAACCATCCGTCGAATCCACACTGCTTCTGTCTCAGTTTATTTACATAAGCGGAAATTTTTTATTTACATCAGCTCCTGTTTATTCTTTTCTAATTAAACACTTTTACAGTACATTTGAACTCTGACAGCATAAACAGCAGATGTTTCCTGCACCAAAATCACAGTCACAAGTTTTTGATTATGATTTAGATATTATTCATAACACTATAAAAAGTGGGTGTGTTTGATTTTAATTGATTACTGTGGAGTTTATTTCTCAGTGGAAAAATACACTTAAAATACAGAATAAGTCTAAAGAAATGCAGCAGAACAGGCGTTGCGTTTTTTCAGAGGTAGGATGGCATTTAGCAGATGGTATGGATTGAAATATTGATTAAAATGGAAGCAAATCTGTTCCATCAGATGGACATAAAAATACTTCAGAAATGCTTGAATTGTCCTTTAGTGAGACAGTGAGTGACACTTGGCCGTTTTGGCTGGTATCTGAATTGTAACCTAAGAACCTAAAAAATTAACCTCATGCATTTACACTTGGTAATCAGATGCGTCTCCGGTTAGTCACATTGAAATCTGATTGCTGTATGGTACATAATATGCTATTCAGCTCATGGACAGCTGCCTGGTTTATCCTCCTCTTTTCTTTTCCATTCACAAGATGGCTCACGCCTCAAAAATCACAATTTTGCTTGTAGTTTTTCATTTTGTTACATATGATTTACACTAATATTTACAAGAAGACAGCTGTTCAAAATAATTAGCCTCCTGTATTAGTTATGGTGGAAATGAATTACATACATTAAATGTAATATAGTGAGACAGTAAGTAACAGCGAGGCAAAGTACAGATTAACCTGGTACTTTGAGCTACTAGCTTGGGCCACTGTTGGATGCTACAGAATTAAAATCAGAGAAGAAAATCATGATGAGCTGATCAGAAGGAGCAGCAATGCCTCTGTTTAGTGGTGGCAGTCCAGTGGGCTTTTTTCCTTCTATGCAGAACAGCAGGGGGAGGCGCCATCACAGTCCTGGGTGGAATTTGGGCTGTTGAGTGTGGCTTGGAGAAAGGGATGCATTTACACTTATATAACATCGGTTGAAATATATGTAAGACCACCTGCTGCAGTGGTCTGAGGGATCAGATTTAAATATGTCTTAAATGTGGCTTGGGTGCCTGCATTTTTATATTGATAATCTCTATCCAGATGTAATCCTGATGCTCAAGACGCATGAAATTATGAGGCGTAAGTGGAATCTTCGGGCCACTTTACACCTGGCACCTTTTTTAGCTTCTTTCCCGTATGTTGACAAATGCCATTAGCAATCCATGTGATCCAAACCGTTGTAACATTCCTTACATTTACGCAAACATAGACTTGCAGGAGTATTCATAATGTCTAACAAGAAGCATAGTGAGAGACTGACAGTAAATGTGAACAAAACTCTTCCTGTAGTCACAAAATTGATGATCATTGGAGACCCATTGAGACACATGGAAATGGTATGAATAGCTATACGTCTTGCTGTCCACTTAAGATCAGATCACTCAGACAGATGTTAATACTAGGGATGTGCATACCAGCTAATTTTGATAGTCAAGTACCTGTAAAGGATATTGATTGGATAACTGGTTAACTGTGGGGAAAGAAAGAAATCGGCTGAAGTCAATGAAGGGCTGTAAAAAGGCTTACAGTTTTAGGTGGCAGCACTGGTCTTGGACGAAAACATAACAGCACACAGAGGAATACATTTAAAAGCATTTAATTATTCACGTAGATTTGAGGGATATCATCGCTAAGCAGTACAACCCTGGATGGTGAGTTCTCATCTTCTTACAGGTGGTCTTTTTTCTTCAGTGGACGAAGGGGCAACATATTAATTTTTGTCAGAGAAATATAGTTTCACTGTTCCTGGACATACCTAACATCAGCGAGAGTAACTTTTTTTAGCTATGTTAACGGTAAAGCCAGCACCGTCTCTGCCTTCCGGGTCACATCCTTGACAGTGCGTTCAAGGCAATGCACTCATGTTAAGGTCTTTGTGTTGGCAAAGTTTATTATAATATTGTGGCATCAGCAGTGCAGAAAAAGCCATTATTTCTACTCAGAGAAATGCTCTTTTATTGACCAAACCAAAAAAGGCGACTGAATAACAGCCTGAATAGTGGGCAAGGTCACTTCTAGCCGTACGACTTCTCTCTATGGTAAACAAACCTTACAAAGTCTCACACAAAGTAACTTGATAAAATACAGCCAACACATAAACACATTTTAAACTGATAAAGAACAACACAAACAATAAGTGCAGCAACAATGTCCTGTTCACGGAGGGTTGGGGGGTGGGGGTTTCAGGCCAGAATCCAACAGCCTCCTCTGAAAAACAGAGTAAGTGGCAGACACCACAACATGCATACTTCCTTGCAAATACTAATCAACTCACCACATTTTACAATCCTGTTAAAACATAAAATTGAAAACTGAATTGTTGGCCTGCGATAAAACCTGAAGAATACCCAAATAGTGATTTTAGGTTTTAAATATTGACACTTTGAATGGTTTTCCGAGTGCCTGTGCTCACCTCTGGTTAGTACCAAGTGTGAACATGGCCCTTGATTGGGGATTACTGATCTGACCTGGTGAAGTTGCCTTAAAAACAACTTTAACCTCACCGTGTACTCTGTCCGCACACACATATATAACTGCTCACAAACACCCACATACATGCACCCGGTCTTTCCACAGTGCCTGGAGCCTGCAGAAGAGAAGCTAAACTTCTGAGAAATGTGGTTATAGTCCAAGACTCACACACTCAGCAGCACACAAACTCACAAACACTCCCCAGCATTTGGTCTCTGCGAGGTGGCGCAGACTGCCCCCTCACGTTCCAAAAAGAGTTCACGCTGAAGCCAACAGCAGAGTCTGTGCCAGTCAGCCTTACACACCTCGCCTGGCTTCATACTGTTTGTGTGTATATCCTCACTGTTGGAACAAAACCTCATTTCTATATTTTTTACATTACATCATTTGAAAATACCAGCTGTCATTTGCATTGTGGCAAAATGTCCTGACTAATAAATCAATATAAGTGGTCTGGAGTGACTTAAAACAAAATCTTGTAACATTAATTAACATTCAAAGTTAAGAATGTTTTTTTCTCTCCTGTAAAGTTTCTTTTTTGGAGATACAAGGTTTTGTTCCAAAATCGACAATATGTTTGTGGTATATGATGTATCTTTGGGCGATGTCTTTATTTAGATGAACTGTTGTTGCTCTTCCTTGTAACTGACAGATGCAGCCTCCTTTTCCTCTCCTAGTGTTCGCATTCCACTTTTATATTCTCTCTCATCTACCCGCATTTCAGCTCTCGTCTTCAACTTTTCATCTCTTTTTCACTCTATATTCTATCAGTAATCATCTTAGCCTCATCTCACCTCTTTTCCCCTCATCTTCTCTTCAACTCTTCCACCATCCCTATGCGGCTATTCTTTTCTCTGTGTTTTGCCACAAATCCACTTTGCTTCTCCTTCACATCTTAAACTTGTCCTCTTCTCAGACTGGAGGCTGAAATCTGATGCTGTGTGGGAGTATATGTGTGTGTCAGAGAGGGAGAGTTGTGGGGTCATGAGGAGATGGATACTCCGACCCTAGAAGAGAGTTTTAGGATGTGCCGAAGTCCTCACCTTTGCTTTTCTCAATAAGCTACATAAAATACTGAGCAAACACAGGCTGTCCCATAACACTGTATTTCTATTGAGTGTCATTTTGCAGGAATAAAATCTTTCTCGTCAGAATGAATATGTGAATGTGTTCTAACTCAATTTGAGAAGTTGTGAATTACTTGTTTAAGCACATAGCACATTAGGTGTACCATTAGGGCTGCATAACATACTAAATGTTAGTTATTATCACTGTATTGGAATACAGGAATCACAGAAGGCTGCAATATGCAAGTGAGCCCTCTGTCCAGTCACAGTGTTTGCATGGTGTGCTTTGAATCACGTTATAATAAAACTAATTTCCAGAATGTCTTGTATATGAAATGTGTTGATCAAATCTCAGGCAGACAGTTTATTAAAAATTACATATATACACATTAGATTATCACTTGCTATTTGTTGTTCCTTCAAAGAAAGGTGAACTATTGAATAAAAGATCTTGAAGCACCTCTTGTTGTCCAGCTTATGGTATTTTAACCTACACTGTATTAATTATTATAGGAAAAAATAACAGCATTTATTAATATGATTTTGAATCTTAGTGTACTGTTGGTCAGAATAATTCAGGCCAATGTTTAATCATCTGACTGTTTATTAAATAAAAGTTCATCAAAAAATCATACAAGACTACAGATCTTGACTTATAGAGTACATGGCAGTTAACTGCAAACTAAGAATCTTCAGGCTGCTTCAGTGCTCTGTCTTTGTATGTGTGTGTATTGGGCTCAATATAGTATTGGTTCTTCTTTATCGCAGCATTGACCTTTGCAGTACTGATATCGCAGAAGGCTGCAATATGCAAATGAGCCCTCAATCAAATCACAGCATCTTTTCATTCTGTGCTTGGAGCATCTTGGCCAGTCTCAGTTCCAGATGACTGTTCTCTGGGTTGGGGCAGCAGAATATTTGATTTGTTAATTTTTATCACAATATTGGCCTTTGCAGAGGCCCTGCAATATGCAAATGAGCTCTTTAACCATACAGTAACAAAACTGTTCACTGTGGGTATTAGCATCCTGACCAAACATAGATGTTTCTGATGTGTTTTTCTGTGGGTATTTTGATGAATGAAGATGTTCATGTGATCCAAAAACATCAATGTCTTTTATTCAAAATACTGCACACCAATCTGTAACAACATTAAGTGCTTACCAATGTATTTAGGTATATCTAGGGTTCGACAGTGTGCACGTTTGCTACTTCTTTTCGTAAAAATGAGATGAGTGCTGTAAAGTGTGAGGCATCAGGGCTTTGTTTGTATTAAGTGGATTAAAATTAAAAAAAAAAAATCTGATTGCTGAAGTAAACACCCTCTCTGACTGATACAAAAAATGGAAAAAGAAGCTCATGTTAAGTTTGCGCTCATGTTTATTTCAAATCAGGAGAACTGGCAAAAACCTTACCCTAGAACCCTGATATCACAAGGCATATCACAGTATGTAGCAATATAATGCCAATAGATATGTTGGTTTGTCAGTTCAGCCCCAGTCTGGTGTTCAAGGCAGTCACATGATCCAATCTGTTCATCGAGTTTATGAACAAGTTTAAATAATTTCAGTTACATCATGTCACATCAAGTGTTTACCAGTATACCAAGGCTTATCGCAGTGCAATATAGCAATATAGTGGCTACATACTATTTTGTCCATACTGCACAGCGTATAGTGGTAGTGATTTGATTCACCACAGGAATGTACCTTTGGATCGGTCGCAGGTGCTGGCAAGAGCAGATTAAGGGTGTAAATCAAAAGCAGGGCCCGGCAGCACGGCTTGGTTACGCTCACGCACCACACACCTGTCAGAGGATTAGCCATCCGAGCGAGTGCTGCGGGAGGGGCGTGACCGAGCTCTATCACAGGCTATAGGGTTCCGGGGAAAATTAAAGAGCAGAAGCCGAAAGTGCCACTCTCTCTTTACTCTGGGTAAGGTGCCCTCTCTCCCCTTACAGTCTACCCTCTGTCATCTGTTTCATACACAGCTCCAACTGATCCCAATGACGGCCCTCCCTGGACGCTGTGTTCTATTTAAACACTCCAGTACAGCCGCGGTGACCGTCATAATTATATCCCCTCCAGCACGACCCAACTGTCTCTCTCATGTCAACATGTTTACATGAACTTTCAGCTATACAGAATTCAACAGTTGAGAGACTTGCAGTTCACAGAAGATTATCCTATTTGGTTGCATATTTCTATAACAGTGGCTTTAGGTGTTCTGTGCAATTATTTTTCTATTTAATACAGTGAGATAGTATCAGGGCCACAACAGCGAATTTAATTATCCTGAATTTGGCTTGTCTAATTGGTTTAGAATGCTGATAAGGGTGCTGCGACTGACGAACACAATGTTGACTCACACAGAGGAGGGGGACAGGCCCCTAATTTGGTTTTTAGTAGACATTTGCTGGCATTCTAAACATAGTCAGTCCCAAAATCCCTCCAGTCACCTATTTTGGCATTAACTTATTAGAGAATTTAGTTCAGCTGACTGCAGGTCACATTTGAAACATAGTGTGCTCTTAGAGTTGAGAGGAACCACTGCAGACAGCCGGACAGACAGCCAGACTTGCTTTGTTTATTTATAAATACAATATACAACTCACCGAGTCAAGTCACCGCCGTGGTCAGCGGAATTCCTACCCTATAGTTATGTTCCGTGCTTCTGTCTGACCAAGCCAATTTCTTGAGTCCATTTCGATAGTATCACCACTTTCTTTGCAGCAGTTTATTCCTGAAGATCTGGGTGCTGTAGCAGCTTCACTGCTGGGCTCTTCATAAAAGAAGATTTCAGATGCCTGCTTATTTTTCCAGGTATCCTCAGGACATTTAGGAACATTGGCTGAGACGAGTAGGACGATTTTTGTTTCTCTGTGATAGTGCTTGAATAAGATTTGAAGAAGCTTTTATCTCTAAATGACACTTACCAAAATGATATGATAAAAAAAAATCTCTACATGAGTGGGTTTTCTCCTTTTCTTGGTTTTGTTTGTTCCGCTGTTGGACTGATGCAGTTTACCTCTGGATGGAGAGGATGACTGAGGCAATTTGAGCTTTTCTTGACTGTTCTGTAAAACATGCAGTAGCTCACTCAGGAATAAATGCAAGCAGAGCAGACTGAGGTTTGTCACTATGAATAGTGGTTAACCAGAGTATATCCCGAAAAGGCACTTTTCCCTCAAGCGTTTAGAATGGAGAATATAATGTTGAATATTATTGTGCTTGGAACTTGGAATAGGTTCCAAGAATACGTAGTGACTTGGCATGTTACAGCTATTTTATGACATTTGCATTGAATAACACTCTGCGGGAGTTTCATAATAACTCTAGGAGAACATATATAACTGGCCAGGATGACACAGCATTTTACTCACACGTACTTGTCTTTGCAGAAGCATTATGTTTCAGCTCAACAGCAGAAGTCAACATGCTAGAAAAGAAAGATATATATATATATATATATATATATATATATATATATATATATATATAGGGGTGCAGTGTTCAATATGACAACGAAACAGGAGGCAAATTACCCTTTCAGCTACAATTAAGCTGCGTACAGAGTAATAATACACAATGTACAATTACATCCATAATTTACAAAACTAAAAGCGCGGCAAAAATCATACATAATAAAGTACATACAGTGCAGCTTTAATTTCATCTCTGAACCTTCTGTACTGTATCACGTATTCATTGTCTGGCACAGTTTGGACTTAAGTGTTACTATCTGGCTATTTTTAGGTAGGAAAGGTTAGGTTAAATCAGGGACTATAGGTATATGTAGTATTGTTTGTTTTTCAATAGAGTTACATGAAAATATCAGAATCATATTTGTATTGGTAGATAATTGCTTGAAAAAAATGACAATGGAAAGATCAGAATGATTTGACCGATATTTTAAACCGATATTTGATGTATTCATTGTGCTTTAGAAGAGCAGAATGTTAAGGTGATGTTGTGCAACTAGGTTAAAGTATCTGAATTTAAATCATTTTACTGCATTTGTAACACCATAGTAATAAATGTTGTATTTCACTGTAATGCTTAGTCCTGATCTCTGCATTTAATAATTGCGTATGTATCGGCACCAGCAGATTTGTACATAAAGATTATCAAGCCCAGAATTTCAATATCAGTACATCACTATTTTCCAACATAGATTTACAGACAATATTCGTGATCCACTATAGAATACTTTCACTGCAAAACCTAGCAAACACGTGGTTTGTCTGATTCCACATATGTTTTTTGTGAAGTGTGGCTCATTGTAAGGATGAAGAAATTTCCTTCCTTTAGATCAAAGTAGAAAGTGAAATTGAACAGATAACAGTGCAGTGATCTCATTCGTGGCTCATTGCAGGCAGTAGAAATACTGCTCCTTTTTCCTTTATGAATTTCCTGCAGCTAAAAAGTGAAACAGCTGAGATAAACCTTCTCTCAGTGATGAGGTGGTGATGTTTCAGGCATCGTGTTTCATCACCCTTGTGTCATAATTCTTGCTGCATGCAAGGTGGCAAAGAACAGCATAGCTCATGCATGGCGTAATGGTATTGTCCTGTTAGCAAACCTGTGGATTTCTAATCTAATGATAATCTGTGGCAATAGCTGCCTTTTTGCGAGGATTAAGAAGGAAATAGGAAAAGTCAGAGTATGGAGAAATTAGATAATCCCTCAAAGGCTGAAATGAATGTTTAAAAAAATGACAGGAAAGAGTTTGTCCCCAAATTGCAGAAACATGTTTGTCTAGCAGTAGATGAGTGGCCTCTACTGGTGGCAGCTAGCTGGAGTTTATTAATGTTAAAATGCCTCTGTCCAATTACTGCCTTATCTAAAATCACATGTTCTAAAACCTCTCTCTCCCTCTCTCTCTCTATGTCTCTCTCTCTCCTCATCTCTTTCTGTCAGAAGAGAAAGAGCACGTGGTTGTAGGAGTGTGCCAGTACACATTTAGACTGAGGCTAAAATAAGCTTCTCCTCATAAAACCTCCAGTGAGTGAGTGAGTGAGAGAGAGAGAGAGAGAGAGAGAGAGTGAGAGAGCAGCACAAACAGCAAACACGAAGCGAGGGATTTAGGAGGAGGAAAAGCAGGAAACACAGGCCGGGACAGCTCCAGAACAGCTCTATCGCTCTATTCACCATGAACACAGCACACACACTGACTGCCTTCAGCACTGCTGTCACTCAAATCAGTACTTCCCCAGCAAGCTGAAGAGCACACGATGCATGCATTCTGTTTTTCTTTGCTGTTTGTTTTATTTATAGCATGCAGCGTGTTTTATGTTATTTCCCCTGGTACTGAAGTTATGTGCAGTGAAGACTTGCATTAACTTGGCAGCATAAATTATTCATGATTTTAAGCTTCAGTTTAAATCAGAGATGCACTGACATGACATACTGGATCAGTATTGACATCGACACTAACCTTATTTATAAACGGATTCGATTTTGGTGACCAAATCCACATTCAGTACTGTTTCTTAGTCATGACTGTTATAAAATTGTAACAGTACGATTTTATAAACCTTCCAGAACAGTATCATTTAAACGTTTGTATCATAAGAAGAGTCTCTACTTGGGACGTCTGACTTTATAATGAATATATATGTATACAATAACTGTATTTTGATATGATCAAATATTAAGAGAATTTAAATAAGTGACAATATTATGCAATATATCATTCTTTTGTTTCACATACCACATGATTTTTTTAAACCAATTCCTTTGTACAATCATTATAATCTGTGGTAGAAAGGTCTGCACTTAATTACAGGCCATACAAACAGAACATCACCAGCTCATTTAGTACACATGCATACTTTGAACCCCACATGGGAAGATTACAATGTAGATTTTCAGTCAGGCAAAGAATGCAGGGTAATATACAAAAGAAAGAAAGAAAGAATGAAAGAAAGGAAGAAACTCTGGTACAGAGTATAACTACAGAATGTAGTTATCATTGAAGATTATAAAGAAATATTTGATGCTGTCACAGATGGTGATTATACTACCATCAGTGAAAATGCAACATGACGGATAAGGCTCACATGTGGAACTTTGTAACTGAATTTAGATCACAACGATGTTGTTTATCACAATAATTCTGCAGACAGTAATCGTTTGTCTAAATTTACATTATTGTCCAAAGTTATTTAGAATTCTTTATATTTTTATAATGCTGGGGCAGCTTGGTGACCAGGGTCCTTTCTGTGTGGAGTTTGCATGTTCTCCCCGTGTCTGTGTGGGTTTCCTCCGGGTACTCCAAGTTTCCTCCCAGATTCTAAAGAAATGCAGTCAGGCCAATTAGACATGCTAAATTGCCCTTAGTTGTGAATGTGTGTGTGAATATGTATGTTTGTGTGTCTGCCCTGTGATAGACTTGTGACTTGTCCAGGATGTTTCCTGCCTTCCACCAAGTGACCGCTGGGATAGGCTCCAGCTCCCCCCGTGAACCAGAAGGATAAGCGACTTAGTGTGTGTGTGTGTGTATGTGTGTATAGTGCTGTATATTCATGCAGTTGGCTACTACAAAAGTGCTTTTACAGAGCACTGAATTGATATGGGCCCTATGGTATTGGCCAACACTGTGAGTTTGTGTTTCGCAGCCAGTATCGTGAGAGGTAAGTGTGGATCGGTGCATTCCTAGTTTAACTGAAATGTGCAGTGCTTTCCTATGCACTGAAGGACTATTTTTTTGGTATAAATGAGAGATGAAATAGCTTGCAGGGACGGAGTCACTGTGTTTATTTATGCCCCTCATCCAGCTTCACTCAACCATCTTTAATCCCACCTCCCTCTCCCAATCTCCCAGTCTCTGTCCCAAAGCAGGATTACTGCTACAAACACACACATAGAGAGAGAGGGAGAGAGCAAAATTCTTAGAAAATAGCAGCTGATAGTCACAGGGGATTCAAAGTTTTTTTGACAGACAGTGGGCACTGCAGTTTTACGACCAGGAATTCTTAGAAAATAACGAACAAGACAGTCACAGGGGGCTCACATAGCTCGGGAGGGAGAGACTACAAAAAGAGAGGGAGAGATAGAGTTAGAGAGAGAGCGCTTATGCAAGAGGAGGGAGCGTGTGTGTGAGTAGACGGCGGCAGCCTGCGCTGTTTGCAGTGAGCTCAGTTGATGTGGAAGTGAAGTGTTGTCCGTGTGGCAGCGTTGGCCAGACAGCACAGTCTGAACTCCAGCAGAGCTCTTTGCTTCAGCCATGCACATTCTACATTCACACTGCGTCATCAGGTAAGACTTTACACACACACGCTCATGCATACACACCTGGCACGGATCTGTGCGTTTCCATGGGCTAAGTTTTCCGTGGCTGCGCTGAGCAGCGATACACGCACTTCAGTTGGAGAGCTCAGTTGAAGTGGTTTTCACTGTAGCTCGTCTGAGGGAAGTGTTTGATGTTTGACAGTTCTTCTGCAGAGGAGCTACGCCGCACAAGGGCGACTTTGATCAAGCAGCTTGTTGGTGTCAGACCATTTAAATTTTGATGTAAGCTTCGCCGCAGATGCGTATTTCATGAGTAATTTTGTATTATTTCTATACCGTTCCCAAACAGGCAGGTACCTGATTTTTTTTCATACAAAACAGAACTCGGAGTGGAGTGCTCAGCTTACAGTCGCAGAGTGCGAACCGCAGCTGGTTCTGTGTGATGTTAGCCCGCGAAGGGCTCTCCCTGCTAATGGCAAAGTCATGTAGCCCTTCCATTTGGATGTGAAATAATTGATGTTTTCTGGGAAAACTAAGTGCCAGCCTCACTTTTTTTCCCCTATTACTTGTTTTCTTCCTTTTTGACTAGTCAGTAACTTCTGAAGGCTCTGTTTAAATCGATTAGGATAGAAGAACCTCAAATGCAGCTTTCTCTTTCTCTCTTTTTCTTTCTGTCACTCACTGCTCTCTGCCTGTTTGTCTTTCTCTCTCTCTTTATGTATAAATACAAAATTTGAAGAAAAATGATCACCACGATCATGTTGCAAAACTTCCTTATGACACTAGAGCTGGGCAGCAGGAGTGCTGGAGTGAGGTGATGATTGGTGCTGATTTCATTTAATTTTTCTCTAGTTTAATATAACTAATAGAACTAGAATAGATTGTCACATCACAGCCTGTAAAAACACCACATAACTTTAGAATAAATGCAAATATTAATGCAGAAAAAAGGCAACAATTTCTTCTATTCAATAAAAGTAGCTATAGATATCTTGTGAGCTAGTTTGAAGAACAAAGATTAGTTCCAGATTTGTCCTGGGTGCCCCCAGCCTTTGCATGGATTTGACCAAATCCAGCTCCAGCACAGTACCAGATTTACCTTAATGAACATTGATTGAGCCCAACCAGGTGTTAGATGAACTACAAATAATACTAGGCTTCCTCAAGGAGGGGTTTGGAAATGTTATGTTATGTGTTTGTAAAAGTGTATATCTCTCATTTTTCTTCTGATTTATTCTCATTTTATTTATTCTCATTTTTTGGCACACTGACACTGCGTTTTAGCTTTTGTTTATTTAAAGTAAAGCTAATACCGTGTTCATCACCTCCAGCGCTTAAAATCCCGCCCTGTGTCCTCTCTGATGCCAATCTAAAATGTGAAATCCGCCTTAAAGCTGTCAGGCCATGGCAGGACAGGCGTCCTTAGAGAGCGCCTGTTGGTCCAGGGTTAGGTATATGTGTGTGAGAGAAATCGTGAGCGTTCTAGGGTGTGACACTGCTGATGTGGACAAGCTTTTGAGAGGACAGAGAAGGCTGTGAGATGATGGACAGATATATTGGTAAAGCCGTGGGCGACAGCAAATCAGAGAGATTGTGCTGGAGACAGCAAGGCTTAAGAGTGACATTTACCTTACACTGCTGCAGGTAGAGAGGGAGAGGGAGAGGGAAGGGGCTCCTATGTCCTTGCAAAATCATATTCCACCTTACTGAATGACATAAGAATATCTCTCCAGCAGAGATATGTTCAAACAATACAGTGAAATATGTAAAACGTCACTGTCAACCGAGATCAGTGCTGCAGTAATAGGCTTTGTTTTTATTTTTTCTGTTTTCCCATCAGAAGACTCTGTGTGCTTCTGCAAACAAAGATGGCATTTTATTTTTGGATGTGCGTGTTTCAGGGAGTGCATCACATGCTCCTTGTTTTTTATCATCATAGCAATTAGATTAGAGATTGTATCAAATTCAGCCAAGATTCAATAAGGCACGGAGAGACAGGATTGGCTAGTCTTCCTTCAAAAGAAATATAATGCTTATTAAATTGGAAAGAGGTTTCATCAGATGTAACTCAGTAAGTGGTGCAACAGGATCAGTCACGTTTAACGTCACGCTCATTCGGTTCCCTGTGGCCCATTCTTGTTTACGTGTTAGCACGTGGCGCTTTTTATTTCAGGCCTGCTTGAAAAGCTGTCCTTGATGCACAAGCGTCCTGGTTAACATTCGTGTCACCGCTACTGGAGCAGATATTAAGAGTGGTGAAGTCTCTAGAGGAGCGCAGAGAGACATAGCGCTGAACGCTAACCATTTTGGCTGCATTATTAAGGCTGCCTCTGTTATGTAATCTGCTCCCTGGCTCCCCTTGCATAGTGCAGTCAGCTAGCCCCTTTAGTTCAGTTATGCTCGCTGATGAGCTGTTGGAGGCGGCTGCTGGCTGAGTCTGCGGCCCTCTTTGCTTCTTTTCTGTTCTTGTTTCCATGTCTATCTTGGTCCTGTGATTGAAGTGGCAGGGTTGTCATGTTAGTGGAGCGCTTAGGCTTGAGGGGAGACAAGTTAAGAGTTGGGTCCAGTGCTGCAGGAGTCCGCATGAATTATGCGATACCCTTCGAGCTGAGCTTTAAAGTCCTTGTTCGCTTTTATGTTGCTGTACTTACATCATATTCTTTCCTGATCTCACATCCTCTGTCTCTCTTTTTCTCTCATGTACACAGGTGGCTCGATGGCCCGAAGAGGAAGAGGAAGAACAGTCAGTGTTCGGTGAAGAGCATGTCTGGTAAGAGCCCACTCTCTTTCAATTATTCACATTCTACAGTAGCCCAAGGTATAATGCTGTGCTCTGACTGCCATGCCTTCTGATTTACTTGATCTGATCAGGACATCCTTAACTTAGCTTGGTAGAATGTGTAAGCAATTTCAGACGAAAGCCCGGTAATTTGAGTATGGAACTGTGCAAGCATAAGCTGCGCCCCTCCATGCCCACTTTAGGATGCACCCTGTTGCTTAGTTTTGTTCATGGATATTAATTTCCATGAAAGATGGGAAACAAAAGCCCCCCAAAACAGTGAAATTTGGACACAATTATGAGCATTTTTTTTAAACATTGTTTTGATATCATTACACCTTAAAAATTACTAAACTCTACTAGACTCCAGCCCTACGGGAGCATGTTTCACAGTGCACATTTCTGAGGAGCTCTTGGGGAGCTTGTTGAGGATTTCATTCCCTCCCATCAGCTCTGTCCCAGAAGCCTAAGCTCAACTGCTCAAGACCGGCCTCCCCCAATCCATTTGCTTTGGCTGGCCCCACAGATTTCTTTTCCAGGCTTGCTGATTCTTCTGCCAGCTCTACACCTTGAATCCTTTCACAGCTGGCCAGAAGCAGGCAGCAGGATAGCAGAGGGAAGACCGGAACAGGTCCGAGGTGGCCTGAGTTCTGACTGTTGAGGAGCAGTACACAGAAGCCACAGAAGATAATTCCTGCCTCTGTCTGTTTGCTTTTGGCTGGATATTTATCACCCGCATGCAGGAGAAGTGGGAACCTACAACACATCTGTCATCCGCTGAAATAAATCCTTCCCTCTCTTTCTTTCATTCTGCATGGAGGAATGCACAGCCTGACTGACAGCATGGGTCAGAGTGAGCTTTTGGAGAGAAAAGAAGGGAGAAAGACAAAGAGAAGGAGAGACAAGGAGGTTAGGGTTGGAGAGCAAGATAATGTGAGAGAATGGAGGAGAATGCTAGTAGGAATGCAGGCGACACCAGCGCTCCGCCAAGAGGCCATAAAACTTGCTTGGGTCGTAATTCAAACACATGTATTGGAAGAGCCTCGTGCATGTGTATGTGTGCAGCTTGCACTACATACATGCAAGACGTCTTGTGTTTTTCTTGGAAGAGTGTCATGGTTTGACACCAAATGACTGCAGTGATGTCACATGACTTCTTAGCCAAACAGCCAGTGATACTGCGACAGGGCTAACATCATTACACACTGCTTTGCATACCAATTCATTTTGAAGGTTATAACTTATGAAGGGCTGTAACAGTTATCTGATTAAATCTGATTACTCAATTTAAAAACAAAAAACACCGTCTCAATACATTTTCAATAAACACTTTTCAATTTACACGGTAATTCAAATTTTAAATTCTCCTTCCAGTCTCGCTTAAGAAACAGAGCCTGATGGACTCATTACACACACATACATTTTTTTCCACACATAATATCTGTGGCAGGGAACCAGCCTTCACTTATTTTGTTTAAAGGCAAAACGGCTATTAAGTAATTCATTTTTCAGGAGATATTTCAGAGGAAATGAGATAATCCACTTGCATAAGGAATGAGGAAGTCAAAGGAATAACAAGAGTTTCCAAAACTGGAGTTAAACAAAAAAGACAAAATGGGGCTCCTAACAACCGTGCAAGACCTGGTAGACCACCAAAACTGTCACCATCAGATTAACAGCATTTTCATCAAGCTTTTATTTTTGAGAGATAGGAGAAAATCAAGCTCCACTTGTGCTTTGGATCTAAAAAAAAATCACAGGTTTTTCTGTCCATCCTTTCACTGTGAGAACACAACGCTGTGCTGTTACTGAGAAAAGGATATAGACAAAAAAAAAAACAGAAAAATTTAACAAGTCAGATAAAGAAGCTGTTTGTATTCTCAGAGGAATGAAAATAATCAGGAAATTCCTCTGTCGCTAGTATAAACCATAGCGACAGCCCTAAACTTATGTTTAAGTCTGCAGCTGGTGACTCTGGCCACAGTAATGGTATTGCATCTGTAACTTGCAACTCTATTGATTTTCTCTCCTGACCCATGCAGTCACCAGCGGCTTACAGAGCCGGCCTCTGTGTCTCTGAGGGCCTTTTAAAGGCTTGAACGGTCTCTATCAGAATAGAGAAACCACTCAGTAAGGCACGGCCAGAATAACAGTTCAGTATGTGCTGTGTCCAGCCATCTAGCACTGCATGCATTTGCACAGCATGTGTACTGTAGTGCCCTCTCCCCAAACCCTGCAGGCTATATATTTTAGAAATGGCGGTCAATAGGCCATTTCCTCTGTCTGTTAGCTTAGTGTTGGAGGCTGTAGTATGGAAAGTACAGTGTGTCCTTCCCATGCCAGTTGGATGACGAAGAGAGAGAGAGAGAGAGAGAGAGAGAGATAGGCTTGCACACTCACTTGGACTAAGATATGCCTTTGTGTGTGCATCTCTCTCTCTCTCTCTCTCTCTCTCTCTCTCTCTCCCCCCCTCACCCCCTCCCTCTCCTTGTCTGTCTCTCTCTCTCTCACTCTATCTCTCTCGGTGCTCTGTTCAGCTTAGACCAAAGCCAAAGCTTGATTATTGTTGAGTGGCTGTCTACATTGAGGGCACTTCAGACCCTTTGTAGGCAAATGAAAAAGACGAGACCATATGAAGTGGATTTTCTCTCTTTACCTTTGGGTTTATAAAAGTAAGGCACAGAATTTAGTCTAACACATGGGTCTTGCTCTGTAGTAAATAGTAAGTAGTTTTCCTTTTGTTGCTCTAAGTGTTTTCTACTTGGGAAAGAGAAATCTGTGCATTATGACTAGTATGTGATATGCCTTACAGCTGGGCAGTATGTGTTTAATGCTCTTAACTCACGTGTTTTGAGAGTATGTGTGTATCTTTCTGAGAATGTGTATTAGCTCTCTTTGTTCTCTGTGTTGTAGGGTACATCCCCAGTTATCTAGAGAAGGATGAGCCATGTGTGGTGTGTGGAGACAAAGCCACTGGCTACCACTACCGCTGCATCACCTGTGAGGGCTGCAAGGTAGGAAAACCCACCCACATATACACAAACACAAACACAAGACCCATTTACATAATTAACAGATACACACTAGGGCCTGAACAGTGGGACCATTTTGTGACTGACAGTAAATTAGCTAAAATTCATGACATGATATAATGTGTAATAATATAATGTGGTCAAAATTTAAATGAATGCAGTTTAATAGGCCCATATCGTGGAATACTGAATTCTCCTCACTTTTTCGTACTAATGTAATAAAGTTTAACCCTGGCCATTCATTCTGAAGTTATAACTCATAAGTTATAAAATAAGGAGTTATTTGTTTCAGCCAGGACTGCTTTTTGAATGAGGCACAATACAGGGCAGCCAATCAGAACAATGGTCATTCATATATATCTGTCTTAATGACTCTGTAACAAAAACAGACTGTTAAATGCTAAGATAACAAGAGGTTGAAAAATGGGTCAGGTAAAAATTATTTATTCATTTTTTGGCACATAAATACATATGAATTAAAGTAAAATCCAATAAATAATTGAATATGTGCCCTTCAACAATATTTTACTGACTGATTGTAGCTAACTGTGTTGTGACTGTGACTGTAAGTTGTCAAATATGATGTTTCAACTGTCTAAAAAATTGTAGAATTGTAGGAGTTTGTTCCCCTTTGCTGTAGTAACAGCCTCTAGTCTTCTGAAAAGGCTTTACATGAGATGTTGAAATGTTGCTGTGATAATTTGGCTGCATTCTGCCATAAGAATGTTGGTGAGGTTAGGTCAGGTATGTTGGATGATTAGTTCTGGATCACAAATGCCACTACAGCTCCTCTCAAAGGTATTGTATAGTCCTCCATCACTCCAGAGAACACAGTTCCACTGATCCACAGCCCAGTGCCAGGGGGCTTTATACCCCTTTAGCTGATGCATGGCATTGGATGGTGACCTTCATGTGCGATGTGCCCATTCTTTCTCCCATTCTTTTTTTTTCTCTAGGGAGATTATAATATAAAAACTGTACACAAGTGGACAGGCTGTGACTGTCCGTTAGCAGTCTCAGTAAAGTAAAGGAAGAGCATCACACTGACCTCTTATTTCTTGACCACTGACCTCATATTTCTTGGAGTTGCAGACAGACAGATACTTAAAATGTGATTATGATTGTTGTTGTTACTTATTACTGGAGAGCTGCAAGGTTTAGTGTCCAGCCATTATTCTGACCACTTGGCTGTGTAGTAAGGGAGTTAAATTCAGTAATGCTGTCTACAGTTCTGTCTCCACAACACAGAAGTGCTGTCTTGACCTTTTATTCTTTGAGTTAAAAAAAAAAAAACAGCTGGCCCAGCAGTTGCCTTTTGAACACAGAAGGCAAAGCTTGATTCTTCTGTCTTTTACAGTTGTGCATTTGACCCAAGGTCACTTGCAGATTGGAAACTAGTTACCATCCACAATGAGCACATTCTGTGAGTTGGTTTTCGATAAATACAGGTGAACTGTAACCTTTCTTTGGAATGCATAGCTTGTTGTTGTCTTGCTTAAAGGTTCAGTGGTGCATGCACATCCTAAGAAGACTTGGTCATGTGGGACCATGAGAAATTCTACCCTGTTTTTCTGTTCAGCACTTCAAACTGTCATTCAGTACTGCAGCATGATGTGGCATGGTGGTAGACTAACCATTTCTAAAGCTTACAAAGCTCTTTGTTCCACGGATTGATGTTGAGAAAACCCTCTCTTTCCCAAAACAGAAACCAGAGAATTATTTTAGCAGAAAACAAATTTACGCCTTTTTCCAAGCCAAGACATTTTTGGTGTTTGGAGTCTTTTTAGTGTTGCGCCAGAGCTAGGAGGATAATGTGGGTAACAAGTAAAGGAAGAATACTTATAGTTTGCACAGAGTTAGTTGGTGGTCATAAGCTTTACTTTACTTAATTCAGTTTAGATTTAAAGGGACATAAACTGTCCATAATAAAAGCTCTTTTTTTGACTTGATGTGTCAGCATATGTGGAACTTTCAAGCTTAAAGAAAGTTACACATATGCTGACGTCTTGTTGGGGACCTTGGTGCAATCCAAAAAGAAAATAATAATCGCACTTTGGAAATTCATACATTCATGCATAGGCATGACCCTCTGTATTTTTATTTGTTTAAGTAATTAATTAAGTAATTCAGTAATCCATTTGCTTCTTAACCTGGACAAGTGAACTTGCGTGTAAGCTTAGTCGAGTCGTGATGTAATACATGCTGTCATATACAGCCCCACAGAGTCCAGTCTCACCTGTAGTCAGTATACTTTTATAAGACAGTTTAACCATAGCCGTGACTGTTCACTGTCCACGTATTGCTCTTTAGCCGGTGCACTCTAAACTGGAGTCTGTATTTGAGCTCAGCAAATTTCAGGAGATCTTTTTTTCAGGAGATTTTTTTTGTTTGGCTGTTCACATTATCTTTTAAATGTGACCTGTATGCGACGTTAGTCTGAACAGCTCATGCTCCTAAACCGACTCGTATGCGCAAAAGAACAATGCTTCACGTGGCTCGTCCAGAGGTAAACAATCATGACGGCCAGAGAACGCCAGTCGTTCCTGGAGCTTTCAGTTTCGTCTTCGCCAGCGTCACAGGAGCGATTATGACGTTCCAGTGGTTGACAGCTGAGCTCATCACCCAGAATGTGTTCGAGTTCCACTTCTTTGGTTCGCGTCTTTTGATTCTTTAAACTTTTTTTGACACTGCAGCCTCGGTCTCCTCCTTTCATTCGAAACCTCTTTGAACACGGAGCGGTTGCGATAAGTCTCTTCTAATTTTTGGTACAGAAACATCAGCCTAAATGTTTGAGTCTCAGCGGCGTGAAACGATGACGAATGTTGAGTTGGATTGACGTAAAAGTCGCATGAATTCCGATCTGGTTGTTCAGAGTCACATTGCCACAGATCGGATACGTATCGGATTTCAGTACCACATATGAAAGCGTGTCAAATCGGAATTGAAAATGTCAGATTCAATGTGTTTTGCTGTTCACACTGCCACACAGATGACACATCTGTGTCACATACAGAGAAAAAGATTGGATTTGGGCCACTTTTATCTGCTGTGTGAACAAAGCCTAATGTAGTGATTCACTATAGCTTTCCCACACTGTAGTTTCAAAGTGATCTCCTAGATGTGCAACTGGTCTATATGGTGTAGTGCTTTGCAGCATATATGCAATGTGCTGACACTGGTGCAGCTCTAGTATTAGCAAAACAGCACTGGTATTTGTATCTATGTTGGACACAAATATACAGTAATAGACAGTTTACTTGAAGTTTATGATGAAGAGCAAAGACAGACATACAGAGTTTCCATCAGATCAACTTTGACATCTCTCACTTCCATCTGATCTTTTTGTATGTATGAATGTGTGTGTGTGAATGTCTGTGTGCACATGAGAGAGAGAGAGAGAGAGAGAGAGAGAGAGAGAGAGAGAGTCTGAGTGACAGCATTAGTCCTGCTCCTCTCTAAATAACCTCGCCAACCCCAGGAAGCAGCAAGATCACTGAACTGATGAGAACACATTTTTAGATGTGAAAGAGAAAACAAGACTTTCACTTTTAACAGCATCTCTCTCTTTTACTCTCTTTCTGTCTTTATCTCTCTGTCCTCTTTCTCTCTGTCAGGGTTTTTTTCGGCGTACCATCCAAAAGAACCTGCACCCCTCTTACTCCTGCAAATATGACGGCTGCTGCATCATCGACAAGATCACGCGCAACCAGTGCCAGCTCTGCCGCTTTAAGAAGTGCATTGCTGTGGGCATGGCCATGGACCGTAAGTTATTTTTCTTCTGTAGATTATAATTTTACTTTCACAGTTCTTTGCTTATTTTCCTGAACTTACCTAAATTTGCTATATAAATAAAAATTATAATCATAAAACGTGGAATCAGACCTTTCCATGCTATCAGATATGGGTATAAATTCTCTCTTACTCTTCATCTCCCCCTCACACACGTTCACCCACAAACAAGTTGAAAGCACAACCTGCCTCAAACACATATGGCCCAACTTAGTGGACGTTTTCCTACACACACACACACACAAATGCTTTTCTACATTGTCAGGATGTGGGGTCATGCACAAGCCACTTATATATATATATATATATATATATATATATATATATATATATATATATATATATATATGTAACTATCTAAATGTACCATTTATATGTACCAATTTTATCTCATTACCACAAAACATTGACAGGTATTAAGGTTTTTCATTTCATTTGTGACACAAAGTATTTTGTTATTTTGGTTCACTTCATTTACAAGGAACACAAGAAGATTCAACAGTCATTTTTTCCTAATTAAATAGCAAATAGCAAAAAAATTATAAATATTAGTAATGAGAAAGAGATAGTGAACACGTTCGAAATTTTGAGAATTCAGTCCTATTTAGACAGGATTAGTTTTACATAATGCAAATTTTGCTGGTGTTTCTCAAGGATTTTAGTCCTATCTGAGCGCGCCATGTCAGTCATTTTTCCCGGCACTCCTGCTTCAATATAGATTTCGGCGCCTTTTACGTTCTGTAAAACGAGCCATTGAAATAACCTCAGGTTATATTAATCCCGTGTGAATCAGCATGGTTAGAAACATTTACTTCTGTCCTCTGTGGCTAAAATCAAGCCGATATGTAACATTACTGTTCTGTCTAACTTGCATAGCTCAGAACATGTAAAAATTAGAGAAAAAAGATTAATTTTAATGCAGTGAAGTTGACTGTTTGCCTTGAATTCCCTAGCTAATGGCGATGCTACTGATGCCTTGCATTCACTTTATGGCATGGTGAATGGTTAGGGTACACGAAATAATGGCTAAATGAAATGTTTTGACATCTTGTCTCTTTTTTGGAGTAAAAGCGGTGCATAAATTGAGTAGCCACTCCCACATCTGTCATTTATTCTGAGATTTCTTATCCCATGCAAATCATTTATAAACATTACAGACGTCCTGTGGTAAACTGGCATTACTGCATCACCCCATGGAGAACTAATCCTGCTAGGGCAAAAAAAAAAAAAAGCTATAAAATAGAAAAATGAATCGTTTTACTTTTCTTGCTGTGTCATGTACAGCTCTAATTGGTCAAATAAATTATATGAATACTGATTATTTGCATGATTGTTATGATTCTCAAAACTTTATGGACATAGTTTGATGCTGTTTTATAAAAATGACCCTTGTAAGTCTAAAACATGAATCATATAGCTGTTTACATTTTATGTAGTCAGGACCATTTTGTTGGTCCTGACATTGTAGGTTACCCCTATTTTCTTCTAGGTATTTTATTTTTGTCTTGAAAATGTACAAAACATACACACACATACATGTGTGTGCTGACGGCGGGTGTAAATGAATGTCAGGCAGTCTGCAATGCTGTTTGAGGGGTCAGCGTGCAGACAACCATATGGCTCCGACCTGCAGTCCACATGTTGCACTCTCACGGCATGTTCTCTCCCTCGGGCCTCCAGCAATTCTTTATGCATCTCTCTCGCTCCCATGCTTTCTTTGACTACTCTCCAGTGCTCACTCCCTCTCATTTTTTTTCCCCCCTCACTCTCATGTCTTCTCTTTGTTAAGGCCGTTGTTTTTATCTCTAGTGTTTTGAACTTTCTCGGACCCCCTCGGTGTGTTCAGTGATGTGTGGTGCACTCCACTCAGAAATACATTTCTCCTCCCACCACACTGTATCTTGCTGTACCCTCGTTTTTATGGTCATTGTGTGTGTGTGTGTGTGTGTGTGTGTGTTTATTTAATCTCTCTCTGTTAAGTGCCTTGATTCATTGCAGTCTCCTAACCTACATACCCTCTAACACACTGACTCTAATTCTCTTTTTCTTCTCTCCCTCTCTCTCTCTCTCTCTCTCTCTCTCTCTCTCTCTCTCTCTCTCTCTCTCTCTCTCTGTTTAGTGGTTCTGGATGAGGCTAAGCGAATGGCGAAGCGGCGTCTGATAGAGGAGAACAGGGAGAAGAGGAAGAAAGAGGAAATGGTGAAGACTTTGCATAACCGGCCGGAGCCCACAGGCTCTGAGTGGGAGCTGATCCGCATGGTGACAGAGGCTCACCGCCACACTAACGCACAGGGCTCTCACTGGAAACAGAAACGCAAGTTCCTGGTGAGAAGTGCTAACACAATCTGTCTCTTGATACTGTTGTACCAAAACCTTGTGTCTCTGAAACGGTATTTTTATAGAGGCCAGACCTCACTGACCCGACAAACACCAACCTTTTAATGTCGGTAGTTGTTTTAAAATGGTTACAACAAGAGCTGATTAACCAAATAAACCAGCGTGGATTAGGGAATACGGAAAAAGGTAGAATGTTCCAGAATAACGTGGCTGGGGAGAACATTGTAGAACAGTATGAACGTGTAGATGCTTGTAGAACAGTGTGTATAGGAGAGAACGTTCAAGACCAGCGTGAATGGGGAGAAGCTTCTTGAACAGTGTGAATTTGGGAGAAGATTCAGGAACACTGGCTGTGTTTACATGCAAAAGATTTTAGCCAATTCGATGGAATACATTCTGATTATAGATTAAGACTGAGGTGTCTATATGCTCACTCTACTCAACAGTCTGATGAAAAATCTCTGTTTACATGCACAGAAGTAATCCAATCCAAAATTACATGCATGCATAGAGGACCACTTAGTGTAGACGTTACCATGACAACGAGCGTCACGTGTGTCCATTCAGAGTGAGACGAGCAGTAGTAAACAGTGTTTGTGTTTTTAATTGCTTTAAAATGATGTCAGACTCAGAAAAAACATACTTCATGTGTACTTATTAAAGAAAGGCAAGAAGAAGACGTCAAGTTTTGAGAGTCATAAGCTGGACGCCCGACCCACTGGCGTCTAAGTTTAAGTTTAAAGCATAAACTTTGTCTCCTCTGCAGACCAGTTTCTGCTCCCGCCATGTTGAACATTTTAAAATTTCTCTATGACGCGATGCACATGCACGTACTTCAACTTTCCGATTGGGAATGTAATCGGATACAGGCATTTTCACTGTTATTATTCTTCTGTTTAATGGATTATCTACAGGTTTACCCACCTCGTTCAATCGGATAGAAACTGTATTTCGAATGGCCTCAATAAGACTAGTCTGTTCTGATTCAGGTGTATTTAATAGACGTATTCTGTTGAGCTGTTAGTGGGATTATTAACAGGTTATTAGGCTGCATGTAAACGTGGCTAATGTGAATGAGGGAGAAGATTGTGGAACTGTGTGAATGAATGACAACATTTTAGAACAGTGTGAATTGGGGAGAAGATTCTAAATCAGCGTAGATTGGAGAGAACATTCTAGAACATTGTGAATGGGGAGGACGTTCTAATACATTGACTTACATGGTATGGCACACCAACCAAACATTTGGGTTTATTGGTGTTTGTGTGGTCATTGTTCTTGACTATACATATACATGTAACTAGAATTTAATGCATGTTTGTTTTTTTGTTGGTTCATTTATGATGACATTTTTCACACAGTGGAAAGGGCAGCTGACGTTTTGAAATGAAGTTTTGATACAACATTGAAAGCATGTATCTGTATGTGTAGCCTGTTTTTTGTATACCTCAGTGTAATCTCAGGTCATTTCAGCTCATATTTGGAATGCAGATATTTCTCTATGAGGAACCGCCTTTGTAAACAAAATGTGTCTTTGATTTGAAACACTACAAGAGCCAAATATTTACACATTTCCTTCTTGTTTAGGTTTAGATGTTGGCATAGCAAAGTTTAGTTACAGTTACATAGTTCTACAGCTGCTTTCCTCAATCTGACTGGGGCTGAGTCACTACAAGTCAAACCTTCTGTCTGAGTTTGTGTGTGTGTGTGCGCGCCTGAGATCTGGTGTGGCTGTCAGAAAGGATAATCCTTCACTTGTGTATGCTGAAAACGTCAGCATTAGTCTACAGTGTCAGAAGTGGTGCTCCTCCCACTTTGAGAAGGCAGGGAGTGGAACAGCAGAACAGAGAAGAGCAGTATGTGGGTGGGGAAGCTAGAATGACAGATAATGCATAGATGGGAAAACAGTAGAGAGATGAAATCACAGAAGAGGCTGTAATGTTAATCCCTGTGCTGAGAAGACTAACAGCACAATATAGCAATACTTGCAGCTTTCCACGCTGCATCAGCCGCATCACACATTGCATAGTGGCTGGGGAAAAAGATTTCAGCTTTATGCAAATGAATGCAGCCGCCACGTTGCATTTAGCCAATCGACCAAAAGAACAGTAGTCTTCACCCCAAACAGCAAACATTAAACCTAACTTTCTCTGAGGGTAGAGAGTGGAAACAGTGGCGCACTCTCTCTTCTATAAATCCATTACACAAAGTAAAGATTTGAAAGAAAAACATTTGTTTGGATAAAGTTTACATCGTTTGAACAGCATAATTTAAACCATACAGCTCTCTGAGGTTGCTTGCTGAAGTAGCTAGCTTGCTAATGAGATTGATGAAGCTAATTTTAAGCTAACACCTGTATCTGATTACATTCCCAATCGGAAAGATGAAGTACGTGCTGCGCATGTGCGTTCACGTTATAGCAAAAGTTTAGAACATTCAACATTGCGGGAGCAGAAACTGGTCTGCAGAGGAGACAAAGTTTATGCTATGAGCTTTAAAAGACGGCGGTGGGACGGGCGTCCAGCTTATGTGTCCCAGAACACGATGCCTTCCTCTTGCCCTTCTTTAATAAGTATGTGTGAAGTACGTTTTACTGAGTCTTCCATAATTTTAAAGCAAGTAAAACACAAGCAATGCTTACTGCTGCTCGTCTCACTCTGACTTGACTTGCATGACGCTCGTTGTCTTGGTAACGTCTACACTGAGTGGTTCTCTACGCATGTGCATAATTTTGGAAATTTTCCATCAGTTTGTTGAGTAGAGAGAGCATATAAACACCTCGGTCTTAATCTGTAATCGGAATGTATTGACAAAAATCTTTGCATGTAAACACAGCCACTGTCTACTTTTGGCTGACGCATGGTTACATCAGAGTATGTGCTGTCAAAAGTTGAACTCCGGTAAACTGTTTTAATGGATATCTGATCAGAATTTTTGAGTTGGAGTCTGTTGTCCATCCACACTTTGCTCTCATTAACATCGCAAGAGGTGCTATAATGTCCTTGTGAATGTGGCCTAATGTTCCTAAAAGAGGATCCTATAATCCCAATTAACGACACCAAATTTGTGTTACTGTTAACTCAAACATGACACAGAGACACAAGTTGTGCTTAAACAGAAAGTGTGTTGTTAATTCACATATCATTTTGATATCTGTCTGTCCTCTTTAGTGTGTTAGAATTTGTTTTTCCATATCAGAGAGAGTGAAGCAGGGAATCCGTCCCACAAAACCACAGTAACTTATTCACCCTTCTGGCTCAGTCTGCACCCCACCACCTCCCACTCACACCCCAAAACCAATATGAGTGCAATCAAACCCCAGATGAACTTTAACTTAGACAAACGAGAGAGAGAGAGAGAGAGAAGCCGCTCCCCTGGCCAACTGAGAAATGCCATAAAATGCACCATAAAGGACTTTGGCGTACATATATAACCTTTACAGCCCAGATAGATCACCAATAACTGTGCAAGGCCAGGAGCCTGCTGAGAGCCCACTTCACTGTACATGAAAGCCCTCTTCCATTTCTCTCTTTCACACTCTCTTTCTCTCTCACTCTCACTGTAGGAATGCACAATCAGCCTCCTCCTTCATTCAGAACTTCATAATAGTAATACTATAAGATTTTGTGTGTGTGTGAAAGAGAGAGGCTTTGTGGTCATCATGGTGACAGGCCTATTGCTCACTGCTGAAAGAGACTGAAAGGGAGAGAGAGCTCCTGTTGGCTAATAGAGGATTCACACGTCTACCTCTCACACTTGCTCCAATACTGCACACATATATAGTACTTCATTTATTTAATTTTCAGTCAAAACGACCAGAAAGTACATGTTATTCATAGCCCAGTCCACGGTTGAACTGTTTCTGAAATACATTCAGAAGTGGGATAAAATTTCACCTTAGTAATGGTACCACTTTTTTTCCAGTACCAGTATTGTAACCTACCATGAAGCACTTCACTTATTCTCAAACTACTCAAACACATTGTTAACCCGCAGGAACAAATACACAGCTAACATCATCACATCACAGTATCAGTGTATGCTGTTTCAGGACAGATTTTTGCAGGAACGGATTGGATTTATTCTTTTATGCCCTTTCATATCCCATCCCGCATTTTCAACTGATATCGCCCTGAAACCTCATATGGAATACTCATCCATATAGATATGCCATCGCTAGTCAAAACACACATTTAGTTTAATAGTGGTGTTAAATAAACAGCTTGTGAACTATGATTCATATAAGGGGAATCTCTGTGTAAAGGCTCATCACATTTTCTTGACTTTAATTTGTGAAATAGCTTGCCTCTCTTCGTCCCTCACTCCCCCGCCTCACCCACTCTCTCTTTTCACCTCTTTTTGAGTTGAGTAAGGTGGCTTTGTTTGACTTGTTCTCTGTCACACAGCTCTAATGAGACATGTTGAAGGTCACAAACACAGCGGCCCCTCTCGAGATGGCTGTAGTTATGCTCTGCATGCTGCACATCATCCCTGGATGCTCACAAAACTGATTCTGTATTCTTGTCTTCTTCTCCCTTTCATGTTGCTGTTTTAATAATCTTTTACGTAATCTAAGTAAAAGTTAGCAGCGTTGTTTGTTCTTCCTCTAGCTGTTAGCAGCGTTAATATTGAGCTGAAGGGAATTGTGGGGTGATGGAATGGCCACTGCAGCCCTGATCTAATCACATTTTCTAATCTAATCTGTTTTCTTGCTTTGCAGTGTGTTGATGTCTGTTGTCCATCAACGCATCATTCTTAATAAAATCAATGGCAAGAGGTTGTTTGATGGATTATGAAATGTTCTTGTGAGAACCGTAGGCTTTTAGAAGGGAAATCTAGCGTGTTAGAGGTTGTCTTTTCATAGCAGAAAGTGTGGAAGTGGGGAATTTATCCTATAAAACCACGGTAACTTTACCTTACTGGCTCAGTCCTCACCCCACCACCTTTAATCTTAAAACCAATTTAGGTGCCATCATTTATGAACAAATAAGATCCTCTCATATTCCTTATTTCATGTTTAGGTAAGTGAAAGTGTTTTTGCTACTTAGACCCACATCGGCTTACTCTAGCTGTTAGCAGTGAGCTGGAGTGGCCAGTGGAGCCCTAGCTCTAATCACATTACAGGCTGATTCGAGCTCCTCCCACTGTAACCTCTCTGCTCTTCTGATCCATGTTTTTCAGTCTTTCCCTGCAGCAGTAAAATGCTAACCTGCTCAATCTGTCTGTCTCAGTCTCACCCCTCTTCTGTAGCCCATTCCTTCCTCTTCTGTCCATCTTTTCTCTTTGTGCGATCCTCTTTCTCATCCATAAAAAAACACTTAATCCCCATGTTTTGTACATAAAGCATGCTAAAACTTTGCGATAACCTTCAATAATCTGCCGGTTTTTTGTATGAGGGAAAACATATAGACTCAAAAGCTATTATCGCTCCAACTCACAGTAGCAGCAAAGCAGTCTCTTGGATGCTGAAAACAGCCTTGAGCACACAATGCCTCCCGATGTGTGAGTGAATGCTGTTGTGAAAGCTGGGGTCCTGAGTTCTGCTTTTGCACTGCCTGTGCAGTGTTGACCTATTGTCCACCCCGAGGCTGAACAGAGAGGCTATTGTGAGCATGTGAACTCCTCATCAGTCAACTCTAACTGCTCTGCTGCGGAATAGCACTGAACAGTCCCAGCTCTGCTTGCGCCACGGCCACTGCCCTACACCTCCATGCATGTTTTCTTTCCTTTTTTTTCCTCCAGTACGATATGTCATATTGTGGCTTTACATTTTACATATACAGTCATATGCCAAAGTTTGGGCACCTGGGTCAAATTACATATTTTGCCAAGGTGAAAATAACTGAATACATCCTCTACAGAGAACACACTTCTGCACATTTATTGCACAATTACTGTTTATTTGCTGAATTTAACATACTGAAAAAAAACAAATAAGGTGTACAATATGGCCTGTGCAGAAGTTACGATTTTATATTATATGTTTTATTTTCAGTATGTTAAACTCACTAGAAATAGAAGTTGGGTTCTAAAATTTGCAGACAAAAATGCTATTTATAAAGTTGTTCCCTGTAGAGAATGTGAACTTTTTTTCATTTAGAAAATCAATAAAACATGACCAGGGGTCTTCAGACACGGTCCACTTTATTAGACACACCTACCTTGTTGGTCCACCTAGTAGATGTAAAGTTAGAGATGATAGCTCATCTGTTGCTGTGCAGTTTGTGTTGGTCATCCTTTAGTCCTTCATCAGTGGTCACAGGATGCTGTCCACAGGCTGGATATTTTTGATTGGACTGTTCTCAGTCCAGCAGTGATACTGAGGTGTTTGAAAAACCAGCAGCACTGCTGTGTCCGATCCACTCATACCAGTGCAACACACACTAATGTGCCACCACCATATTAGTGTCACTGCAGTGCTGAGAATGATCCACCACCCAAATAATACCAGCTCTGTGGTTGTCCTGTGGGAGCCTGACCATTGAAGAACAGGGTAAGGGGGGGTTAACAAAGTATGCAAAGAAACAGATGGACTACAGTCTCTAATTGTAGAACTACAAAGTGCATCTGTATTGTAAGTGGAGCTGATGAAATATGCAGATATGTAGATACAAGGTCTACCTAATACAGCGCTCAGTGAGTGTATATAAACTAGTCTTTGTACATCCATATAAACCTTTGTACATGAACCAAAGTTTATATGTATTTTTTTCCAAAGAAATAAACATTATTATAATAATAACATATGTGCATGGTTTTCCTGAGGTCATACCACCTGATTTACTAAGCTGAACCAACCCCACCATGTAAATTGACAGTTTCAGTTCAATATTTATTTAAGGTCTAAAAAGAGGGACATTTGAAGAAATAAGAAATGCAAGTTGTTTTCCGTGAGTTGAATAGTTTTAAATCTTCGTTATTTTGAAACATGTTATGACTTCAAAGATTTCAAACATAAAGTCATGCCAGGCTAATTTATTTCCAATTGCATATGACTAAATTCCTTTTTTTTCCTAGTTTACTTAATCTGCATATATGGTTGGACGGTTGCACCACCTGACATTCTTAAATTTTGGGAGGCATAAATGTCTCCCAAAATTTCATATAGAATGATGTCATATATTTATGAAACTATTTAAAAGGGAAATAATGGAGTTGTGTTAGTCATGCCATTGATTTCCTAACACTTACTCAGCAATAAATGATTTATCTTTATTTTTAATGATTAAATGGCATGAACAAAGTGAATCAGTCAAGAACACGCAGCATTTGAATACTGTGCGTGCAGGTCCATTTTAGAGTTACCCACCAGCCTTTGTGTTTCATATCAGTGTGTTTTTTAGAATGCAAGTGTGTGCTTCAGGTAGTAAACAAAAAAAAGTTTTATCATGTTTGTGTCCTCTTGCTTTAGAAAAAAAAAACTTGCCAAAGTATTGGCCACCAACCAATTTGCCTGTAAAGAAACAAGAATCAAAACTGACCATAAAAATTCTTGGTCAGTACACCCCTAATGTCCTAGACTTGCTGTTCGTAATGTACTTGTAATTTGTAATGTAATTTTCTGTTAGTAACTCCTGACACGTTGTATGCTATTTTGTTACACATGCCTATTTTGTTATACATTTGCTCTGTAGCTAATTAATACCTGTGCAGCAGTGGGAGCATTGTCAGAGGACCTTGATATATGTGTTGTTTTTTTCATATGCTAAATGTCTGTCTCTAAACCTGCTCGTCTGTGTTCTGTTCCTAGCCTGAAGACATCGGCCAGTCCCCAGTAGCTGCTACGTCAGATGGGGACAAAGTGGATCTGGAAGCCTTCAGTGAGTTCACCAAGATCATCACCCCTGCCATCACACGCGTCGTTGACTTTGCCAAAAAACTGCCCATGTTTTCGGAGGTGGGTGCCCAGTGTGTATGTAACTTTATCACTATGTATCAATGTAATATTGGGTCTGCAATGCATTTGTGGCTTGTATGTGTCTGTTTGTGTATAGTTATCCAAAGTTGCATTTATGCAATTATGATAATGATGCTTGTTTGGCGTGTATACTGCACAAATTACTTGTGATATGGATCCTTATCTGGATGCATTATTATTGTCTTGTATTTGCATCGGCCTCATTAGCTGAAGGACCTGTGAACTGCTGTTGTGCCGTTTGTCATTGTAATTAGTGGCATAATTGCTAATTGCTGTGCACATTACTGAACATACCTTCTAAACAGCACAGTAACGCTAATATAGAGGCTTAATGAATATTTTTTTAATGGACTGATTTTTACACACTTTAGTGGGTGAAAGAGTAAATGACTTTTTTAGATTGGTGTGAATGTGCAGGAGTGTGTATGTGTAGACGAGTGGCTGAATGCATGTGAGTGAAAGCATGTGTGTGGCTTTGGATCAGTGAAATTTCTACGCGTGTGGTTGGGGGACGACTGTGTGTCTGTCTTAAAAGTGCTATATTAATCTTTGCTATGCGGCATACTGTCCATATTTAGTACACAGCAGCACAGCAGAAACAGCGAGTGTGTACATTCTTGCCCTGTAGACTACACATTCCACCTATGGCAGGGACTTTGTTATTGTCTGCACACAGAATGTACACAGTTCTCCACACACAATCTGGCTGGGCAAGAACCAGTCGTACTTTCTCTGCTTAGTTTTTTTGGTCAGATACATTCAGAACAGAGTATCAGCAAGATTTTCCACGTCTCATATTTCATACAAAATTAACAAATTTTCAGAACATATACAACCCAATTTCCAAAAAGGTTGGGATGCTGTGCAAAATGTAAAAAAAACAATGCAATGATGTGCAAATCATTTAAATCCTGTATTTATTTGAAAATAGTGCATCTGAGCAATTCTGTTTTTTGAAAAATATATGCCCATTTTGAATTTGATGCTAGCAACATCTTTCAAAAAAGCTGGGACAGGGGCAACGAAAGACTGACAAAGTTCTGTAATGCTAAAAAAAGAACCACAGTCTTTCAGAAGTAAAGATGAGGAGGGGTTCACCACTCTGTGAAAGACTACACGGGCAAGTGCGAAAATGTAAGAATAACGTTTGTTAACATAAAATAACGAAGAACTTTCATCATCTATGGGATTTCATCATCTGTGGTAGTATCATTTAAAGATTCAGAGAATCTGGAGAATCTCTATATGCAAGGGACAATGCTGAAAACCAATGGCTGTGATCCTCGGGCCCTCAGGTGGCACTGCACTAATTTTTTCTTTTGGAAATCATGGACGCTTCAGGCTAAAAAGGAAAAGGACCATCCAGCTTATTATCAGAGCATAGTTCAAAAGCCAGCATCCGTGACGGTATAGGGGTGCATTATTGCACTTGCCGTGGATGACCTGCACATCTGTAAAGACACCATTAGTGCTAAACGATATACAGGTTATATAAATATAAACATCTTACTTCAAAACTACAGCATTGGTCTACTCAGTGTTGTGATTGTGTGTTGTTAAAAGAAAAAGTGTTGTTAAAAGAAGAGGTGATGCAACACAATGGTAAACATGCCCCTTTCACTTTTTTGAAATGTGTTGCTGACATCAAATTCAAAATGAGCATATGTTTTTCAAAAATTGATATTGATATGAAAAACCAAGAACGTTTCTCAGTTTAAAATATAAGTTATTCATTTTTGAGCATCAGGAAAAAATTTTACATCTAACAGAAAATAAGACAGAAGCCCTAATAACTGAATAATTTTTTTCAGTATGTACCTTTTTACTCTTTACCTTTATCACAGCATCCATTCTTTGCCGAAGAGTTGATTAGTCCAATAAAACCTTACTCCACGTCTCAGATGTCCTGTTTTGACATTGTAACACAAACTTTCTTCCCTTCTGTTTATTTCTGCTACACATCCTTTCAGACCCATAGCATTAAGTTGTCTTCTTGCGATGGAAGGATGTACAGAAACACCTGTGGATTTTTCTTTGATGGGAAGCAATAGTGGAGCTTGATTTTCTTTGATCTCTCAAAGATGAAAGCTTTAATAATATTTATCTGATGGTGACAGTTTTGGTGTTCTACCTGGTCTTGCACAGTTCTTGGTTCGCTTATTTTCCTATAATCTTCCTCTTCCTTATGCAAGTAGATTATCTAACGTTCTCAGAAATGTATGCTTTAGTCATTTTATGGAGATTTTAGGAGCAATGTGCAAGGCATCTAAAGTGTGTTTGGGTAGTTACTGGTGTTAAATGTCAGTGTCTCTTTGAAGGGGAGCATAATGTCTGTGACAACTTTGGGGACAGCCTTTATTGAGTAGACACAACTGTAAATAGTTGGTTTTAAGACTGAATGGAAAAGTTAAAATGGCAGCATGTAATTTTGTGTGAAATGTTTTGTATACATATGTATTCTTTTTCCAAAAAAAAAAACAAGCTGTACTTAATGACCGTTTTGAGTAGAACATTCCACAATATGTAAATCAGATTAAATCACTAGTTTTATTACTCTGTTTAGTCTCTTGCCACAGTGGCTCAGATGAATGTGCCCTTTCTGTCATTGTTTTTTTTTTCAGGATATTTTCCATTTGACACCATAACAAAAGAGTGTGTTGTTAAGAAGAAACAATAAAGAAGCAGTAATTAATGACAAGTATCAATTAGTACTGATGCTAACATGATGTGGTGGTGTATGTGTGTCTGTGTGTGTGTTTTGTAGCTGCCTTGTGAGGATCAGATCATCCTGCTGAAGGGCTGCTGTATGGAGATCATGTCTCTGCGGGCAGCAGTGCGGTACGACCCAGAGAGCGAGACTCTAACACTGAGTGGGGAGATGGCAGTGAAGCGAGAGCAGCTGAAGAACGGTGGGCTGGGCGTTGTGTCCGACGCCATCTTTGACCTGGGAAAGAGCCTGGCTCAGTTCAACCTGGACGACACGGAGGTGGCACTGCTGCAGGCTGTGCTTCTCATGAGCTCAGGTGTGTGCTTAGCCTTATGCACTGATCAGGATGTGCTGTCCTGACACGTTCCTGAACCCTGATCATCAGAGCTTAAATCGCCAGCACAGAGCAACTTCTGCCATTTGCATTGAGCAAAGATAAAATGATGAAGTGATCTGAATTAGGGCTGAAATGTTTAGTTGACAGAATCGACAGTTTTGATTATGAAAAAACACTGATGTGAATTTTTACTGAAGCATTTTATAATGCTCTGTAATATTCATATGGTGTATATGGTCATTCCAACAGATTGCAATACACTTTAAGAAGTATAGGGGGTGATTTGGCTTCTACTGTTTCTTACACTGTAACAAAAGAAATTGTTACTAGAATTTTGAATAGTAGCAGTTGCAAATAGAGAGGAATGAAGAGGTACTGTATAATAACAATTATGCTAGTACAATAGCATAATAGCTAGATTAGTAGTTATAAGATTAATCTTATAGAAATAGACCTCAGTTCCAGCTCCAGTTTAAATAGCTCTTGGGCTTGAATGAATTCTGAAAGCTGCCACAGGAAGCAATAACTGATTATTGAGATGATGGCTGTAACCAGTATTGATATTTTGAGTTTCTCCCCTGCTCCCCTCTTCATTCCTGTCCTTACCAGACCGCTCAGGCCTGACGTGTGTGGAGAAGATCGAGAAGTGCCAGGAGACCTACCTGCTGGCGTTCGAACACTACATCAACTATCGCAAGCACAACATTCCCCACTTCTGGCCCAAGCTGCTGATGAAGGTGACGGACCTGCGCATGATCGGAGCCTGCCACGCCAGCCGCTTCCTGCACATGAAGGTGGAGTGTCCCACCGAGCTCTTCCCTCCGCTCTTCCTCGAGGTGTTCGAGGACCAGGAGGTGTGAGCACCGGGATCGAAGAGAGAGCGCAGCAGGAACCTGCGCTTTTTTTTTACCTTCACCCGACCACCTCCCTCCACCCCCAAACAAACACCACCCCACACCCCTTCTCCCCATGCGTCAAACTCACCAGCAGCAGTAGCAGCAGTAGCAGCAGTGACCGCAGAGGCAGAGGCGGGGGTCCCAGTCAGGAAGGGGTTCATTTCTGGGGGTTTTATTCTGCTTTCGCTTTTTTCTTTTTTTTTCTTGTTTGAATTACAGAATGCTCAGTCCTCACTTCCTCCACCCCCCACCTTAGATCCTCCCTGCCAGTCAGTTTAACCGGTGGCCCTTCTGTCTCTGCGCTTACACCTTAGACTGATCTACCTGAACCTCAGCTATGGACACATAATAAACACACATAATAAACACACACAGACATCTAACCTCATGCAAGAACTCTTAAGCAAACATAAACCCACCCAGCGCACTACTCTCACACCAGCTTCTCAGAGCAGTTCTGTTGTGCAGTGCGTTTGGCTGAGGCGCGTCTGCAGGTCCTCTCCGATTGGAGGACTTGCTGCTAGACGACGACCTTCGCAGCCCTGCTGAGAAATGGCAGAGATTTGTGTTAACCAGTGGTCAGTTCAATTAAGTAGTATAAATAATCCTGGTACCACTAGTGATCACCAGTGTCACTCTCTCGTATACATCATGTGATCGGATCAACATTAGCTATGTCACATGATGCCATAGTTTGTCAAAGCTCTTTGCTAATCTGGAGCAGACTTGAACATACCTCATTACACTCAAACTAATTACAGTGAGCCTGTGTGCAGAGCAGGAGGATATTTCTGAACCAAATCAGGTGCTATATTTAAATAAAGCTTCTCAAACGGATTTGGGATGTTTTAGGAAATATGCCCTCCCTCACACACACACACACACACACACACACCCACACACAGAACACATAGTTCCTTTCTATGTTTCCTTTCTATGTAGACTATTCGAAATGTACCTGGTCTGCATTCAGTGCACATTCAGGGGCACATCTACATACACACACACAGTGCAACCTTGGTCTCTTAGTGTGTGGTTCTGCCTTGTCATTGCCTGGGTTTTCTGTGCCAGCACACAGGCCTGATCTGAATGATAATTGAGCCCTTCTGTCCTAGGAAAGACACTGCAGCACGCAGGGCGCAGGCGAGGGCTCAGAGAGAGAGAGAGTGAGAGAGCGAAAAGGCTGTCTCACAAACCCAGGTCCATAGAGACAGTAAGAAATTTAGGCAGCCTTGGGGGGTGTTCAGATGATGCCTTTTAAAACATGTTGCATCTCAAAAGAAGCAGGACAGTCTTCTTAGTTGGCAGTCTAACTTGTTTGTCTGACAAGTAGATGAACATGAGACAGCAAAAACTGATAACCATTTTGAAACTGACATAGAAAATAGAATATATAGAAAAAAACTTTTATAGTTGTAAACTGATTTCACATAAATCCGTTAATTCAGTTAATCCAGTGATGCCCAAACTGGAGGAGCCCAAAATGAAATGTTTATGGTGGGGAAAGGGCCAAAAAACAGAACACTATACAAATATAGAAGATAAACATGCTTAAAGTTTAAAAAAAAAATAAGATATATTTTGTTACTTTTGAAAATATTTTAAAACTCAGTTTTAAAAGGAAAATAATTTAAGTTATACTGTATAAAATATGTTTGTTCTCTTTTTGGTTTAAGGGGGTTGGGTCAGGGTAATTTTATGGTGGGCCAAATCAAACCTCCTTGTGGGCTAACTTTAGCTCTTGGACCACACTTTGGGCAGCCCTTAATATTTCAAGTGTTGTGCAGCTTCTGGTGTCATGAATGGCCAAAACTAGCTTTTCCTCCATTGTTTGCTGGAGAGATGGCATCCTTGATCTTGAGTGGCCAGTTGATGATGACGTGTTTCAAAAGAGCGAAGCACATTGTGTAGACTGCAGGAGTGCTTTTCAGTCATGGTGCACATTGCTCCACAGACAACAACGAAAAGAAGCACGCTTGAGAGAGTTTGAAAAGGCATTGTCTGAACCTTTCGCTGTGTCCTTTTTTATTCAGACCATCTGAAAAGCGCTGATTTAGTATTACCATCTTTCCTGGCCCAGTATGCACACACACACACACACACCCCACAAACATTTAACACACACCTCAGAAAACTCGAATGCCTCATTACTATATGCACTGCAGTGCTGTTGCCCTGAACACCCTCACAGGGCTTTGTGAGTTCAGTCCAGTCCCTGTGTGTTCTGCTACTGCTGCCCTGGGTGTGACACACACGTACACACACACATACACACACACTCATAAACGCACATATACACACACATAGTGATGGGCTTAGGCAGAGCAGGCTGGCGGACTGGCTGTTTTGTTGTTATTGTTTTTTTTTGTTTTTTTTGTTTTTTTTTGTTTTTTTTTTTACCTCAATGTGGGCACACCTCTGGCTGTGGCGCCAAGACTGCCTCTGTGCTAACAGGCTCTACCTCACCTCTGGACACAGAGCAGCTACCGCACAGCCTCCTCCTCCCACTCACACACACAGACACACACACACATGAACACACACCACACACACCCACACAGTACCTGCACTTAAACGTACACATACTGACGTATTCATGAGCAGGAACACAAAACATCTAGGATGAACACCCAAACGTATTGACACTGAGCCCCACCTCAGTGCTGTCCAAACACACACCAACACCTCCCTCAGCTCTCCCTCTTGTTCGAATACCACTGTAGACAGGAGGGCCTACCATTTCCTTATCCTGATCTGTCTGCTTTCAGAGTCCCTGCATTCTGGGCTGAGAGGACAATTCTGTTTGGGGGACTTTTATCCTTTTTTTCTGTTTCATTTCACTGTGGGACCAATTGTCACTTTGAAATTTGGAACCCCATTCCATTTCCGTTAAAACGGAAGCTAATCTGGTGGGAATGGACAGTGTGAACGAAAGAGCAAATGCTGTTGGTTCTGAAAACCAGCAGCGAAAAGGACTGTAGTTTTTATAGTGGGAGAAAATGAAGATCCCACAGGTGGCCAGGCCAAACCCCAACACGGTCTAGATTTCTTAAAAAAGAAAAAAAAGTAAAGAAAAAAAAACTTTTTTTTTGTTGTCTTTTGAATATCGAGCAGTAGTTTGTGAAAATCTTTGTAAGGCAGAGTGAGGGGAAGTTGACTGAGGAAGAGGAGACAGAGTGAGGCGGGCAGGTGGCCCTTGTAGGCCCTTAGCATTTTTGGCATCTTTGAAAACCTGTAAAATCAGTACCACCTCTCTGAGGTGCCAATGTGTGCCCACCCCTCGCAGCAGTAGATTTTGCACTTAAGGAGTAATTGTTCCCTCCCTTCCACCAAGTCTAACAGCAGCATAGACATTAAAATGGCACGCTCTTATACCGAGGACACCCCCCACTAGCCCTCTGGCAAACAGAGGCCACACCTCCACGTGTTCTTCAGCACGCTCTCAGAGTCAGTATTAAAGCAACCCATGTCCCTTTTCTACTTCAACTACCAACGCATCAGCACATACACACTCTAACACGCACACACACATCCCCTTTGTGTCCCCCTCTGGGAGTCCTCTGCAGTGGCTTGAGACGAACACCAAATCGAAAGGGGCCTCTCCCTTGTGAGACAAGGCTGGCCGTGGCCGTGTGCAGACGGCACCACCGAGTGAATGTGAACCGGTATGCAGCAGGACAAACAAGTACGAACGAAAGTGGGAGAGAAAAACAAGAACACGAAGCAGCTTGAGGTCCATTTTGGAGTCAGCGAATCATGACTTTGAGAAAGGAGCGAACGAGCAAGAGAGCTGGCCCTCTTCCCTCTTCTAGATTGGATGATTGTCCACGTTTTCCCCGCCCCTTTCCGTGGAGATCCCTGTAACCCCTGCCTTCAGAGCAAGAGAAACCAAATCCCACACAGAGACCCTCGTCAGGAGCTGAAGATGGCATTCCATGGATCCACATATGGAATTCAAGCTTGGAACACGAGTGACGCGCTGAATCACCGCTGGTCACAGTGATGTCATTGGTTCTGATTGGGTATGTGTGTAACAAGCAGGGGTTACGATGCTGCTTTACCTTCTGAGTCTAATTTTATTTCAGAGAAACAAAAAAAGATATAATGAAAGAATTATAAACCCAGAAAACAAACTTAAAAAAAGATGACTTTAAAGACTCCAGAACAAAGTTAAAAGCTTGGAGATTTTTTGTTGTTGTTGTTTGTTTGTTTGTTTTTTTTTTGTTTTTTTTTAAATCTCAATGTGTTTTTTTTTTTGTTTGTTTGTTCATTTTTGGCGCTTAACTGCTCTGTGTAAGAGAGAAAAGAACAGCCGTAGTCACTTTTTGACCATGCGTGCAGTGTAACCTAGACAGAATTTCACCTCTTTTTCACCTCAAAAATAGTTTGTATCCATAAGCCAACTGCTCTGTTTGTCTGTATATCTGTCCTATTGTCCGTCCTTTTATCCAGATGAATTTACAACAAAAAAACAAAAAACAGGAATATTTTCATTTTTTTATATTTTTGTTTCCTTTTTTTTATGAATGAAAACAGGAAAATAATGCAACAGAGACTGAAAATACAAAAGAAAAAAAAGAAAAGTAAAAACTGAAACACAATCTACTCATACCTCACACAACACAAAACTCAAATGAACTTGGGAGGAGCGCTTATCTGCAAGGCACTTGTTCAAGTGCATCAAATGCATGTATAGATACTCTGAGGTAAAGTGCTTGGTGCGCAGGAGTGTCTGTAGTGATCACAGACGCACACAGCCCCTTTCTCCATGTTTGAAAGCCAACAGAGCCTTTGGAGTTCAAGCTAAGCTAGTTTTATACTCCCTTCTAGCCTGAAGTCATCGCCAGGACGCTGGAGCTCTTCCTGGAAGCGTCTCGAGCAGGATGGGTTACAGGGTGGCTCGAAGCCTGGAGCGGAGCTGTGTGTGTCTGTGACGGTGGAGAGTGCTTCATGGTATTGAATGTAGCTGACAGGACTGGGCTAGAACCGAGCCCAGCAACCAGAACCTCACTTCAGGTCACCAGCAGAGTGGACATTGCTGTCAAAAATGACGTTATAACAACAAACTGAGAATCTATTGCCCGCCTGCAAGGTGCAATACTTGTTCAACTTTTGTGTTCTCTTTTTTTGTACTTTTTTTTTCATTTAGGGTTTTATTTTGGCCATAACCAAGGTTGTAAATACAAAACAAAAAAGAAAAAGATATTGAAAGATTAATTCAGTATATGTTAACCATATGCAACACTCACATACTGGATATTGAGAGGCCAGAAGGCAAAACGTGCTGGCTGAATCCACCACTTTGTAAAGTAAAACTGCATACGTAGCTATGTAATTGCTTCATACATCTGTATGTGTGCTTGTGTGCACTCGCAAACGCGCATGTCGACCCCTTTTTACGGAAAAAAGTGCCCCATGAAGTTAACAGTCCGACCCTGTGCCTCCTATTCCTCACAAAGTGATAGAGAACATACATCCCTTTGGACCCTCACGCAAAGCAGAGTTGTTGTGGACTGTTGTACCTTAGTGGGTTTGCTACAAATAATGACTGTTCAGATGAACAGGTGGCAGGGGGAAAGAAAGATGAATCGATAGAAAAGTGCCCTCTCATTAGAGAGTCATAGACTTTTAAAGTCCCCTTGTTAACATTAGTCGAGGCGCATTACTTATATACCTTCAGCCTCTCAGCCGCCAATCAGATTACACCGGAGAAACTAAAACTTCAGGCCCATCCACAATAGAAGTCTTATAGAACCTGTGGCCCATGCGTCCACACGCGCACACACACATGCACAGGCATGCCAGGACGGAGGAGGCGGCTTGGGGAGTGTTTTGTTTGGCTTTTGCTGTTGCCGCTGTTTTTGTTCCTCTGCTTTTTGCCAAATGTAGTTCTGTGTTTTGTCCTCCTAAAGATAAAAAAAAAAACACTTTGTAGCAAGAATGTCTATGCAATGCCTTCCCACTCCCCACTGAATGCAGGTTGTTTGAGTGAGCCCACAGGCCTCTATACGAACACTCCCCTCTAGTCCCAGCCCACCACCTCCTCCTAATATGAACGCAAGAGCCTCACTCAGTCCTCTTCTGAAACCTGCAACGGAAGGCTCTTGCTGTTGCCTGTTAACCCAGAGACACGAGACCAAGGCAAGTGTTCAGCTAAGGTTTAGTGATGTCATCCACTGTCAAGAGGCTGCTCAGAAGGCAGTGTGTGTATGTGTATGTGTGTGTGTTTGTGTGACGAACGCTCTCATGGTTCGGTGGATCGGTACTACCTAAAGAAAAAGTGATTTTTGGCCATTCCAAGACCTGAAATTGAACAAACAAAAAGTAAGATGTTGAAATTAAGATGTTAAATCGGACTGTGCCGTTCTTTATGAAAGACGGAGACACGCCACGTGTTGGATTTGTACATATGAAATGTGCAGGACACCTGAATGTAGTTCAAGCGCCACACTTCAGGCTGAATTGCAGTGAAGTGTTTAATGGAAGTGAATGGCACCTCTCCTGTGAGTGAAGTGCTCATTAGCTGCCAGTGCTACAAGATTCCTGCTTACAGTCATACAGAGGCACGGTATACAGGAGGGAGAAAGAAAGCCCCTCTGTGACAGTTACAGTCCTGCTTTACAGCAACCGTCAGCCTGTGTACAGTATGGGAAACAAATGTAATTAGCTGTCATACTGCAATCGATCGCAATGGCTGCCCAGTTCTCCCTGTGCTTTCTAATTAGCTTTAACAGTGGTGTTGAGAGAACCCTAAACTAACCAAATCC